TTGCTCAGCTTGTTGGCACCCCTAGTCCCGATGCCTCCTCCCCAACAAACCACTAGCCTTCAATAAGTAGCTGATTTGGATGTTGTAAATAAAACAGCATAGTCTTAGCTTTTAGATAGTAATATATGTTCATTGTCCCTGCATGCATTTTAATAAACAGCATTTAATGTCAGAACAGCATATAAAAGTGATACCATACGTTATGAAACTGTCCATCTGAACAGTACATACTGTAAACTATTTGCTGGTGGAAGGTAATTGGCCAATGCAGTGTTGGCACTGTGGATGCTGCTGCAATAATGTATGTGAATTCACAGTTATTCCACAGCAGCCTGATGCACCAGTTGCACAGTAATATTATTCCCTCGCACACTGTTCTAGCAGAGCTCAGAGCCCAGTCGAGAGGATAAAGATCCAGACACAGATGAAAATGGCAACACTACTGTCCGACAGAGCCAAGGGGTATGTATGACTTTCAGTTATAAAAATTATATTCATATACAGTTAATGTATGTTCTTGATTTTTTTAGATTTTAAACAGCTACTTATTAATTTCTCAGGTCATATACTATGTGACTGGCCAGATTCCCAAAGAGCATCCACCCCCACCACCAGGACCGGAGGAAACCCCAGAACACCGAGAGCCCACACAGCCTCCATCACAGGTGTCAAATGTCAATATTAATGACAATTCTCCAAGCCAGCAGCAGCAGCAGCAGCCGCCAATGTCTCCACCACCAAAATCACCTCCACCTATATCACCTAAGCCTGTGGGACTGAAAGGATTCAAACTTCCAAGGAAGCAAGTTAAACGCTCTGAATCCTTGAAGACCAGTGCAGAAATGGAGAAGGGAAAAATGCTCAATAAAATTAACACTGAAAAGAAAAGTAAAGTCATCGAGCAACATGTTTCTTCTAGCAAGAATATTATACCTGAGCCTGTGGCAACCACCACAACCAATACCATAAGAGAGGCACCTAAAAGCTCTGTTGCTCCACCAAAAAAGGCTCCTAGTGAGGACCGTAATCCACCTAAAGCTACCTGTGATGAGGGTAATGAGGAGGCAGGTCTTAGTCCTGATTTACCTGGAGAAGAGGCACCTCCACCCCCTGATAACATAGCATTTATGATCACCAACACCAAAGTTCAGGCCCTGTCCTGTGGAGAGTACCAGGAACTGGTGAATGCCAAGAAAGGAAGTGTCCAGACCGTTACTGTAGGTAGTGCCTCTAACCGAGGGAACACCACAGCGGATCCCTCCTTGCCACAGGATAATGGCTTCAGTAAGAAGCCCGTCATCATCATTTTTGATGAGCCCATGGACATCCGTTCAGCTTACAAGCGGCTGTCTACCATCTTTGAATGTGAGGAGGAACTGGACAGGATGCTAGCAGAAGAGCGCATTGAGGAGGAGAGTGAGGAGTCTGATACAGAGAGGAGTGGTGGGCTGCAGGTAAAATCTGGAGGGACTGAGGTTGTTGATGGCAAAAAGGTCAGCTCTTCACAGGTCAATGCAGACCACATTAGCTTATCATCCTCATCCTCATCTTCAATCTCTGAGCTGACAGACAGCGGAGTGAACTTAGAGTCAAATGGTGACAGCAAGCAGGATGGCAAAAAGAAGTTCAAGTTTAAGTTCCCTAAGAAACAGCTGGCGGCATTGACCCAGGCGATTCGCACTGGCACCAAGTCAGGCAAGAAGACTTTACAGGTGGTTGTGTATGAAGACGAGGAGGAATGTGACGGTACTGTCAGGCAGCACAAAGAAGCAAAGAGATTTGAGATTGCACGCTCAAAATCCTTAGCAGACACACCAAAGGTAACAGGCTCGGCTGCGCTGAAGAGGCAGAACTCTGAGTCCCTTGGCAGGACCAATGAGATCAGGAAGAATACCTACAAGACACTGGACAGCCTGGAGCAGACCATCAAGCAGCTAGAGACCACTATTAGTGAGATGGGACCACATTCCCCTGGGGAGCCAGTCTACACAGAGGAAGCTAAAGCAGGGAATGGGAAAAGCTCAGAAGGAGTGGGGCTGAAGAGGTCTTCCTCTCTCCCTACCTCCAGAGGGTCAGGCCCTAAGGTACCCAGCAAAAATTCATTGCAGAAGAAGATTAAACCTCAGCTCCTTCCTCGCCCTATAGTCATCCCTACTACCACCACCACCATCACCACCACCACTGTCCCCAGTGTCCCCAGCACTGTACAACAGGTCTCTCTCTAGCTCTTGTTGCTCCGGGAGGCTATGGGTCCTTCTTTTTCAGTTTACAACCTGCCTTCACTCCAACCCTAACCACTGAAATTACAAAATCATTAATCCCCTACACAGGTGCTTGGAAATTTTGGAAATGTCCCCTGTGGTTTTCTCCCTCTGTGAAATCATGGTGACATGATTGGGGGTGGCATTTTGTTGGGTTCCTGGCTACCATATTCCTCCTTCAGTTCACTGCTAAAACTCTGAGGTTTTCAGCAAGTGACAAACTCATCATCAAAGACATAGTCCTGATGATTAAGCTCTGATATCTTCCTTATTCTTGACTGCATGAACAACTGTGTATTGACTTTAAGATTTATGGTCTCACTGGGTGCATGATCTTTCACTGGTGTTGATCAATGAGGTGTTGAATAAACAGGTTCTTTCACCTGTTAGTGCCTTGATTTTTCATACTTCCTATATGGTGTGTGTTTTTTTTTCTTTCTTTTGTTTTATTTCTTCTTTTGTTTTTCGTTTGGATCCCCTTGCAGAATACCAGTGTCGCTTCCCCAACTAGTCGGATGCCCGTCCCTTTGTCTGCGAAGTCCAGGCAGTCGCCGGGTACTACTGACAAAGCAGGAAAACAGCAAAAACTGCAGGACGCTCAGAGGCAGTTCCGACAGGTAGTTTTACTGTAGGGCCTTACCAGAGACTAGAAGAAACAAACATATAGGGATCGAAAACATGAGGCATGTATTATTAGGGGAAAAAAAGACTACCAAAGCTGTGAGATTTCAAGTGTTTTGAAAAAAATAAAGTCACCGTGGTGGCGACTGTGGATCTGTTAATGTTTCTCTCGAGTCTGCTCAACAAGAAGGCATGCTTGACTCTTGACTGTTACCCCATAACATCACTGTACTGTATGCTTTTGCATGTCCACACTGCTCATGGTTTCACTGTGTTGGTGACTAAACAAAAAAAATCTGGAAAAATGGCAAAGAAAAGTGGAATCCTATCCTGTCATCATCTGAGTTGTCATCACATCTCCAGTTCCCATCACAGCTGAGTTCCTAAACAGTGTTGCTAAAATCCCAGGATGCTTATGGCTATGTTAAAATACAAAACCTAACTGACATTTCGGCTATGCACCTTCCTTCTCACATTGCACCCCTGCTCAAACCCAACATTACTGCATAGCTTCTTAACCTCACGGTGATATATTTCCTTGCCCTCAAGACCTCGCCACAGCTCACCATCTTGCACCGTCAATTTCAGTGGATTACTGGCCCACATTTCCCCTGTCTGCTCTCACTCTTCAAACTCCTAACCCTGTTCTAATTCTCTCCAGGCTTCCTATGCATCCCTTATGAATTCCCCCCCACAGCCCCTGTACAAGGCCTAACAATCCCTCTAACTCAGGCAGTCTGTAAAGATGCCCTTGCTGTCTGTCATCACGCTGTCTAACCTTTGCAGTTTCTTGGTAACATGTCTCATGTGTCTCACCTTTCATGTAACCTAGTAAAAACAGAGCTTCTGTACATGTTGTTTTTGGTGTCTTTTAGTTGTGTCTTAGTCATATTAATGTTTGTGTAGTCATAGTGTGTTTCTATGTGTATAACATGTAGTTTTTTAACATCGCCTTACGTTTTACATGTATAATTTGACCAGATTTCTTTTTTGACAACCAGTATCTGTTTTGGCATTTCTGTTTGCAGGCTAACGGAAGTGCTAAAAGAGTGGGAGGGGATCATAAGACTACTTCCCCTACTATACCCATCTCTAAAATCCCTGCTTTTTATCCTAGCTCTACTAAAGGCAGCTCCCAGTCTGCACAAAACTCCGATGCTACTAATCCCATTAACCCTTCCTCCTCCTCCTCCTCCTCCTCCTCTTCCTCCTCCTCTGTGACAAAATCCTCAATCCTGTCCTCTCACACTCCTCGTTCCGGTTCCCTACCTTCCTCGCACATCCCCTCCCTGTCTAACGGATCCCTCAAACTCCCCACACCCTCACAGCACACCGGTAAAGCTCTTTCGTTTTCCTCGCAGAATGGTCGAGTGCACTCCTCCTCCTCCTCCTCCTCTTCATTCTCCTCCTCCTCATCCTCCTCCTCCCCCTCCCCTCTGTCGCCCACACCTTTGGGCCCAGGTGGAAAGAGCATCCGTACCATACACACCCCCAGCTTCACCAACTACAGGTCCCACAACGGCAGCAGCGGCAAATCCTGCATCCCAACAGCCACAGCAGCTAAGGACACTACCTAGCTCTATTATCGCCCCATGGCTTTACCGCATAGCAGGTAGATCTGGTCATGTGTCATTTTATATAGTTCTGGTTTGTGGTTTTTCTTTTCTGTGTTTTAAAGTTTTTGTAAAAGTATTAAGTGACGCACTCCCCCAATTCATGTTTTATTTGACACTGGCTTTCTCACATCAATGCTTTTATCTCCTTTAAGTTGCATTTTCGAATTCTGAAAAATACTTACTGGGATTCTGATTCTTTCTTGAAGGTGTACCAGATGTTCTATTTTATAATAGTTTTACCACTTTGTAGTTGAAGTGGAAGGTTCTCATGGTGTTGAAAATCTATTTTTCTCGCTGTAGCTATGACTAGGGAATATAGAGTTGATGTACAATCACAACATACCATGTAAATGTTTTATTTTTCAAAGCAGAGATTGAATAACCATAGTATATTTAATCTTCTATATTTCTTATGTTGCCAGACATTCAACACAGCCCTTGTAAATGCCTTTTATGAATGTATACATGGTGTATACAGACATTTTAAAGTTTAATTCATTGTTAACCTCTGTTTTCTAAGAGTATTTTCTCATTTTTCACCCATATGAACTGCCAATTTCTTTTACAGATGTGTGAAAGTGGTATCATAAGTAATACAAGTTTCATTTAGTGTGCCTATTTGCCAAAGTTGTTGTACAATGATTCACTTCAGGCCTAATCCACTCACAGCATTTAGGGGAATTTATGTGTGTGATGGCTGAAGTGTTGACCACAGTGTTTGTACTGTTGGTTGCAGTTTGTTAAGTTAACATATATTGTTGTCTAAATGTAAACTGTACTAAAAACAAAGTGATGAATTGGTTCTACCACATGTACATAGATGCTTCTACTAAGAAAATAGGTAGTTTTTTTAACATACCAAAGTTTATTTGTATGCATGCCTTTCAAATACTTTAGGAGAGTGGTGTAAAAAAAGAATTATGTTTGCACAGATAGATTTTGTAAATATCTGGTTTTCTCTCATTTTTGTAAAGCTTTAAATCATACTATAAAGGAGCAATGTGGTAAAGACAAAACTGTGTTGGAGTAGCAAAAATAAAGACTTGCATGCTTGTAATGCATTGAGCTTCAATGTTTTGAGTTTCTGGTTTCCTGTTTAATTCTTGTGTGATTAAGAGTGAGGGTGTGTGTGTGTGTGTACGTTTGTGTGTGTGTGTGTATCTATATAAGTGGAGATGCAGGAACAAAGAGCAGTTCTCACTTCCACATCAAATGTTTCGTATTCTATTTTCAACGGCTAACAATAGAAAACTGCAGTTTGTATCTCTACAATTACAGGTAAGAAGATGAATATGAATAATAATAGTTATTTACACAGTGAAAATGTACTATTATAATCTTGCATTGGATTACATGATTATATAGAAAAGTACAAAGATTAGTGGTGCGTTAACTACAAACCATACTTAAGCACATAGCAACATTTTGTACATTTAAGCATTTGACCTAAAACATTTAGTCAATTTATTTTTAATTGTCACTGAGCGCTTAAAGTAATCTTTTGATTCTGTGTTTGAAATTGTTTCTACTTGTTTCAAATCAATTTTAGAGGTTTAGGGGAAGTGTCAATATGTATAATTTCATTGGTATAACTTGGTGATACCTCAACTGAATGCAAAAGAGACAACATACATATTTAATTATTTTATCTAAAGAAATGTATCCCACTTGAATTAAAAAAAGATGTTTACATCTTGAATTTAATTTGCATTTCGGATTTGTGCTGAAAATTGTCTTTACTACTTAAACTGATAAACACATTTGTTAGCTCTTCAAAGGAGCTTATTCGTAAGTAATCTTTTTCAGGTGTTCAAAAAAATCTACAAGACTGGTTATGCTGACATGTTGCCAGGGCAGTTTCTGTTTTAATAAACCTCATTTACAAGACACATGATGTTGCATGAGTGGTATTTTCTCACACTATGCAAGTCATCCTGTTGTCATATGTAGCCTCCATCCTGCAGTCTTAGTTTTGTTATGATATAACAATGTATGATTTGATGAATCACTAAAGGCACCTGATGTTAGGCTGTCATTCATCTTAAGTTATTTGTGTCTATGCTGTACCAGGCTGATCCTCTCCACAACAACAATGAACATCTCTGAGGAGGAAATATGGGACTTCTATGGCAGTAAATCCCACCAGGAAAATGTGATATTTTCTACCTTTTACATCTTCATTTTCATCATCGCTGTACCTGGTAATGCCTTGGCACTGTGGGCCTTCTTTCACCAGGACATTACGTCTCCATCAAAGGTTTTCCTGAGGCACCTGTCTGTAGCAGACATGTCTTATATCCTCATTTTACCCATGCGTATAGTTTACCACTTGTCTGACAGCCACTGGCCTTTTGGACATGTAGTCTGTCAACTTGCAGGCTTCCTCTTTTACTTGAACATGTACTGCAGCCTATACTTAATGAGTTTTATCAGCCTGGACAGATTTCTGGCTGTGGTACTACCTATAAGGTCACAGTCAGTTAGGAAGGCTATGTATGCAAAGGTAGCTGTTGGCATACTCTGGGTGACAGTTATTGTGTCTACGAGTCCTATACTTTTCTTGAAAAAGAATATGACCAACAACTCAACTGGTGTCTGCAACATGCTGTACTTAGAAAAGACATCGCCCACAGCTTTGATTTCCACTGTTGTGGCATTCATCATTCCCCTCACCACCATAGTGGTTTCCTACATACTGATTTTGATGAAACTAAGGACACTGACGCAACACGAGGAACGACCAGTAAAAGACAAAGCTATAAAAATGATCATTCTCATTGTGATGAACTTCCTGTTTGCATTTGTGCCCTACCATGTGAGCAGAGTCATCTACATCAAAAGCCACAGTATTGGCCAACTGACTGCAGCAAGCCGTGAGTCACTGGGAAGAGCCAATCGGATTACATCTGCACTGACCTGTGTTAGTGGTGTACTGGATCCTGTGATGTATTTTTTCCTGAACCGTGCATACAGGGACAAATTGCTTCAGCTGTTCTGTAAAAACAGGGAAGATGATCAATAAGTAACAAATATGGACACTATTTTTACATGTACATAAATGCATTCAACCTTGGTTCAACTTGGTGATTTCTGAAGTGGGTTACAAAGTAATTCAAAGTAATGCAGAGGAAGTAATAATTATTCCTCCTATTTACCGATGATTTTATGACTTGAATTCTTTGCTCAGTACTGTTCAACATAAACATGCTGTTTGGAGAACCTTAGTAGGTCAAATATGCTGCTCTGGTTGTGTTTTAGTTTTCCAACTTTAAGAATAAAAAACTTTTTTGTGTAATTGGGTGTAAGATTCCTCTAGAATATTTGTTATGGTAACCTAAACATTAAGTACAAAACGTATACTGTACAGTAGTTCAGACATTGCAACTGAAACAGTGACATCATTTTATTTCCACTTTTAGATCACTATTGAGGAAGTAAAAACTTCACTTATCTTGTCAGCAAGTCCTCCTCCGATACATACACAGTTACACAAGTTTAAATAGGCTGAAATGAGGACCTCTAATTCCCACAGTTTATAATAACTATCACGATAGAGCCAGCCTTTACAAAATAGATAAAAATTCACAACTTTCTATATTCCTAGATTGTTGTTTTTTTGTAAGGTTTTTTACAAAGGTTTTGCATAACAGATTTCACTTCCTTAAATATATATAATTAAAAAATATATATATATATAACTGCATTTGAAAACTTGATACGTGTCAAGAACTAAATGTCACACCCCATGAAGCAGGAATCATTCGTACCTTTTTAGTATAGCGTGATAATAATACAATAATATTTGACTTCAATGGCACAAATTTGGAGAATATGACCCTTAACACCATATCTGCCAGGTGGGCTTTGAACGCTCTCAAGAACAATTGACTTTTACCCAGTTTGACCTGTGCGAGCACCCGTATTATCGACTTGTTACCAAGGCAGCCAGGAAGAAGCTGTGAAGGGAGCTGACCGTAAGTGCACTGTTGTTTATTTAACCTAACTTCATATGTTTTAAACCAAACTCTGGGTCTCTTTAGTTAACATTACGTTGAAGCTATAACATGTACGGAAGTTACTGTGTCATTCCTTCAGTCTTTACACCAGGGAAAATATCGCGACGAGCTTGTTGAAGAGCTATTTCTGTATTGTTACGTTAGCTAAGTTACAACTTAATTTATCATTATTGGCCAGACAGGAATAATGAACGTTAGCAAACCTGTAAACCTTAAGTCACCTTTTGTAGCTTGGGTCTCTTCTCTATATATAACTCGTGTGAGCTTTTTCTAACGTGCTTTTGTAGGAGAAAGTTAGCCTCGGTGGCTGTAATGTTACCTATAAGTTACATTGGCTGGGTTAGCTGTTTTAGCGTTTGTTATGCAGCCAATCACAATCATTTCCCACAGCCTGGGTCGGTGAAAACATTTTTTAATGGTTGTAACTTTGCATCCCTGTCCTGTCTTTCATCGCGCAGGAGCAGCTATGGGCGTCCGGAAAGGCTGAGTACTATTTTACAGCTTAGGCTGCCACCATGGGCACCGCATCCTCTCTGGTCAGCCCGGGAGAGGTGATCGAGGATGGGTACGGGGGTGAAGGTGGGGAAGCCTGTGAGATCCCAGTGGAGGTGAAGCCCAAAGCCCGACTCCTGCGCAGTTCCTTTCGCAGAGGACCTCGGGTGATCGGGGCCAGTTTCAAATCCACAGGCTCTGTGGATCTGGAGTACGCTGCCGAGTATGAAAGACTCCGTAAAGAGTACGAAATCTTCCGTGTCAGCAAGAATAACGAGATCTCATCCATGCAGAAGAAGGAGGCCAAGCTTGATGAGGAGAACAAGAGACTGAGGGCTGAGCTGCAGGTAACGATTTAACTGGAGCAGGGAGCGCTTGAAGTCAGTCTATTAATACTCTGCCCTATTTTTAAAAAGAGCAACCATTAACCATGATATAGTTCATACATTTTGGTAGGATGCTCTAAATGGAGGTATATTAGACGGATACACTATTCACGAGAAGCAACAGATAAAAAACAATGTTACATAAACTAGTCCACTATGCATAGAGAACCCAATAAGAAAGGAGAAACGTTTAACTGATGGTTTTTATTAGGCGATGAATGTTTTCAGCCCCCTCAGCCTCCTACTTTCTGCATCCATGAACTAGAGGCTACTCAAATCCAGATCACAGAACAAGATTTTTGGCTTCAACATTTAAGGTTTGTGGGTGCTTTAACAGTTTTTATGATGGTGTTTATTATTGTGAATGTGACAACAGGCTCTGCAGAAGACCTACCAGAAGATCCTTCGGGAAAAAGAGAGTGCTCTTGAGGCCAAGTACCAAGCTATGGAAAGGGCTGCCACCTTTGAACATGACAGGGACAAAGTAAAACGACAATTTAAGGTAAAACACACCAGAAATGTTCATGTGTAGCATTCCCTCTAGTAATCCTGTGTGCAGACCAAACCAATTAGCTAAATGACCACCAGATTTTCCGGGAGACAAAAGAAAAGGAAATTCAGGATCTCCTGCGGGCCAAGAGGGACTTGGAGGCCAAACTGCAGCAGTTGCAGGCTCAGGGCATCCAGGTCTATGACCCAAATGATTCGGACTCAGATGATAACCAAACCACTGTCACTGGTAAGACCTAGAAATCCACAATGTTGGGACCTTTTCTTTGTTTTATTCACCAATCCATCCTTTCAGTATGCATTTGCAATTACAGTACAAAATCCAAGAGCTTGTTTTGTATGAAAAACATTGTGTTATTTATTCTGTGTTAAGCTGCAGGGACACAGTGTGAATACTGGTCTGGAGGTGTGCTGGGAAGTGAGCCCTCTATGGGTAGCATGATGCAGTTACAACAGACCTTCCGGGGACCAGAGTTTGCTCACAGTTTGATAGACGTGGAGGGACCCTTTGCAAATGTGAGCCGAGGTAAGTAAACTTCAGTAAGTCTGTAGGAAGGAAGGAGACATCATTATATAGGTTGTGGGCAAGGCAGAAGTAGCCCCATGGTTATAGTGGCTACTATGATGCTGATAATTCTACTTTTATAGAAATTGACCTTTACTTACTATATGTATTGTAACTTTATTAATAGGTGTATATTTATGCTTGTATATGAATAACTCTTAAAGTATGTGGTATCATGTGTCTGTCTCACAACTTTTCTCATGTGTGTGTTTGTGTCAGATGACTGGGATGCTGCTGTGGCCAGTCTGCTTCAAGTTTCCCCTCATGTGCCCCAGGCCTTATGGAGTAACACAGTGCGGTGCTACCTAATCTTTACCAAGGAGACCAAAGCTGAGCTTGATATCTTTATTAAGGTTGGTAAGATGAGCACTGTAAGTCAACAAACTGGGATACTGTGACAGTGACATAGCCTAAAGTAACACAGGAATAGGACTAGAATAGCAAGAATATTTAACCTTGGGTTAACATGTGACTTAGTACTGAGGTGTTTGCTCTTGCACCACTCACTTACAGTAAATAGACCAAATAATCAGTGCACCTCTACTGACAGACAGCATTCATTTTAAGACTGCACTTAATCTACCTTCAGGAAATTAGTTTGGTCAATTCAAGAGTAGTCTGACTGTCAGACTCTGAGTTAACCTTGTTTAAAATGACACTTTTGTAGATAACTGCATCTAGTCCTTTTCTGGGAAATCTTTGCTTCGTCTTTTTATTACAGAAACACTCTCCTGTGTTACGGAGAATGTGTGAGGGTCTCGGCCATTTCTTCCTGAACGTCTGCTTCCCAGAGGACAGTTCTGCCTCATACACTGTGGAGCGCAAACAGGAGATTGAAAGGAGCTCTGTGTGTGTTCTTCTGCTCAATTCTACTGTCACAAGGTACAGTGCTATACCTATCCACACCAGGATATCCCCATGTAGTCAAGATTGTACATTACTTATATTGTTTATTTATTTATTTCTCAATTTTCTTTATTATTGTTATCCTCACAGAATACATTACACAGCTGGTATTGATTTCTTGGTTCACAGCTATTGTCAAGAAAAAAAAAAAGAGGAAAACATCAGCCCATCAAAACATAACTGTTACAGTATTATAATTGTGTAATGTTAAAAAAAAATTGCTGAGAACAAAACCTGCATGTGTATATTTATAAGAAAAAAACAGAACTAACTAAAGACAGACAGAAGGTAGGGTAACAAACATACAATGGTGAATCAAAACGGGATGTATGGGCTTGTAACAACGGCTGCATTCACTTGTAGGGAGACCAAACAACTATATTGTCTGAGTTGGGTAAAGAAAGTAAAGTGGGTA